GAGGATCAGAAAAACCGGTCAAGTAACTTGCTCAAGATCACGTTGTTAGTAAGTCAGAATTCATAACTAAATCTGCTACCTTATACCACTTTGTACTTATTGCCGATGAATAGGAAAGGTTGTGTTTGTGTGAGTGTGTGCGTGCACACATTAAAGATGCACAGACGACGGAAAGATACATTCTAATCTTTTTAAAATTTTTTTTAATGTTTCTATTTATTTTTGAGATAGAGAGAGACAGAGCATGAGCAGGGGAGGGGCAGAGAGAGAGGGAGACACAGAATCCGAAGCGGGCTCCAGGCTCTGAGCTGTCAGCACAGAGCCCGATGCGGGGCCCGAACCCACAAACCGCAAGATCGTGACTTGAGCCAAAGTCGGACGCTCAACCGATTGAGCCCCCCAGGCACCCCTGATACAGTCTAATCTTTAACGGTGTCTACTTCTGGGGAGTAGAGCTTGATGAAGGAATTGGCTATTCTGTACTTCTGGGATTTTGTTTTAATGTGAGAGCTAACTGCAAGATAGAGACTGGGGGCAAAATGATAGAAGAGCTGGAAGGAAGAAGAGGGTGGGCTGGGATGCATGAGGAAGACCTCAAAGGATGTGAGATTCAAATCAAGGTGCAGAGGTTGGGTAGGGTTGGAACAAGTGCAGCTGGCAAGACCACGGACATGGAGCAGGGATGAGGAAAGCCTGACTAAAGAACAGTGAGAAGAGAAGCCGGAGTGGAGCGGGCAGGTTTTGCGTGTGGAATATGGGAAAACAAGAGGGGCCCAACAGTTGAAGCTAGAGACCTGACTGGTCTTGAGCCGAGCTTGAGTGTTTCGGGGGCCTTAGATGGTGATATATCAGGGGGGAGGGTTTGGGAGTGCGTACAGTAAGTAGTCGGGGGCCTTAGATGGTGACCTCAGCGGGGAGAGTCTGTGGCTGCATCTAGTAAGTAGTGGGGGCCTTAGATGGTGATGTCAGGGGGGAAGGTTTGGGGGTGTGTTATGATAAAGACATACTTGGTTGCATGCTGCTTGATCTTCAGCAGCATGTATTTCTTTGGTAAAGAGCATTCCTCCCTGAGGGCAGTGGTAGATTTGGGAGTATCAAGCTTGCTGAGACTCTAGGAGAAACCAGCTTTCAAATGCAGATGTGGTTCTTTTAAGTGTGAGAGATTATTATGCTAATTCTCTACCTGGCATGTACCGATGGTCCCCCGACAAAGGGTGGTACACATTCATACTACTTCGAATTATGAGTTTGATCGTTCTCAAGTTGCTTGTGAGAAATAACGGATACATTTATAACCATTGTGTTTTTCACTGTCAGGACAATATTCCCTAAGGCACATGAGATTTTCAGCACTTAACAACAAAACAGGATTTGTGTTAGGTGATTTTGCCCCGCTGTAGGCTCATGTTTACGGTAAGTGAGGCTAAGCTGTGATGTGTGGTCGCTTAGGTGGACTCGGTGCATTTTCAGCCTATGATATTTTCAACTCATGGTGGGTTCATCAGGACGTAGCCCCACGGTAAGTCAAGGAAGGTGTGTACAATGGGGTGGTGAACCTAAGTGAGATTAATAGCTGTCTGTTTGTGAGCAGGAGGGCAGCACTGGGTTCAAAAAGCAGCAGAGATGTGCCGGTGTGAGGCCACCAGACAGAAATGAAATCAGGGGAGGAAAGCGAAAAGGAGCCTATACAGAGAAGAGAGGGAAATCGATCTTCGTGAAACTGAGTAAAGATGTGAAACACCACAGAGCGGAGATGACTTTCTATGAGCAGAACTCAAAGCTTCAGCTGCATTTTCTGTGAATAGAAAATCTTTGACTTAAAGCCAAAGCAGACGGGCAGCAAATAGGAAAGAGACCTTTTTCAGGGCCTAGAAGATTGACAAAACAAGAGGGCATGAGTCGCCGTTTAATCCTTTGAACCTGTGTTCGGTTAACTGAGTGACATCAGAGCGCGTGTCCTTCATTTACCTGTTTGATACTTGCACCCCAAACTTCCACACCCTAGAATAGACCCTGCAGACCCTGCTTGCAGCCACAATCTTCGCTCCCTCAAAGACTAGATAGCTTCTGTCTCTGCTTCCACTTTACTCATAGTCTGTTATCACGGCAGCCGGTTATACTTTCATAGTAAGTGTAAGTAACATTTCGTCGCCATCCCCCACCCCACTGTAAACCTCAATGGCTTTCCACATGTCTTAGACTAGAAGGCAGAGCCCTCACATGGCGTTTCATAATCTCCCGACCTGACTCTTATCACTGTACCCTTTGCTCTCTCTGCTGTCACCACATTGTTCAACTGGTTGTTGCTTGAAGAACCCAGCCGTGCTCTGGCCTCCAACGACTCGGTTCCCTTTGTGTGGAACCATCCTTCTCCAGGGAGTCCTGTGACCGCCGCTCGCTTCTCGAGTCTCTGCTCAGATGTTACCTTATCCGCAAGGCCTTCCCTGATGCCCCACATGAAATGGAGACCTTTCTCCCCATCTCCTTTACCTGGAATTTTCTCTGTAGCGTTTGCTGCTGTTTGGCCTATTACCGTCTGTCCCTGTTGGCCCCTTCCGTCTTCCTTCCCACGTAGAGGAGGACGAGTGGTGTAGTGCTCAAGACTGAATTCTGAAGTTAGATTTGTGGGGTTTAAAAGGCGGCTTCCCCACCTAGGCCTGTGAAACTTGTTTCACGAAGATTTAAAGTCTTTGTGCCTCCATTTTCTCATCTATGATACTGGGTAATAACAAAAGCTTACTTGAGGTCGTTTGAGGATGAAATGAGGTAATATATGTAAAGCGTCCAGTACAATGCCCGGTACCTCAAAAACAATATATGTCAGCTGTTACTGATATTGTTATTAGAATGTAAATCCCATGGAAGTAGGGACTTTGTTTTTTTTGCAGCTTATCTCTAGTGCATAGAACGGTACCTGGAATATGGCAGGCTCTAAGTAAATGTTGGCTAGATGCATGGGTGGTGTGTGAGAAGTTTGGACAGAAAAAGATAACGTGGTACTCAAAGTGATGGTGAGTCAGCGCCAGGCAAAGTTGGGGAGGGAATATGAGCTCAGGGATCCTGTCTTTGGAGGAAAAAACCCTATCCACTTCTCCTGGAGTGGTGACTATAAAAGTTAGTGAAGCCAGAAATGTTAGGAATTTGTGGAAAGGATAATATTTGCAGATTACCCAGAACAATGCTTCCCTGCCCTGGTAGTCTTTCTCTTCTTGATAAGTATGCCTAATACTGGCGATGCACATTTAACTTCTCTTGTACTCGTAAGTGATCCATGTTCAGTTGTAATTAAATACCCTCTCCTTAGTTTTTCTTTTTATTTTGTGATGGATTCCAATACCTAAGAACAGTGTTGGGTTATATCTACAATGAATTATAATAATTTTACTTAAATTTGGCAACTTTTTAAAGCTATAGGTCATGACTCATGTGGATCATGAAGTCCATGTGGGCTGTGACCAGGGTTTTTTGTTTTGGGGTTTAAAAACAACAACCGGGATTTAGAAAAAGAATAATACATATCACGTGAATAAGGGTGCTTAGTGTTTTGTGAAGTTATTATTTCAGTTATGTGTGTGCGTGTCTCATGCATTCATGTACACACACATGCATATATGTGTTCTGGGTCTCAGTATAAAATACCTCTTAACTGCGGGTCCTGGTCAAAAAAGTTTGAAAGCCTCTGCCCAAAAATGATCCTTTGAAATCACTAGGCTACATAATATTCTTTCAGAAAATTGCTTTCATTAATTACTATTCGGGTTTAGATTCTTTCATAAGCTTTATGTGGTCATAGACATTTGTGTCTTTATGAGCACTGGTTTTATTTTACACATTGCTGTCCACTGTCCATCCTCAAAGTCTCAAAGATAAACAATTTCCAGGAAATTAAAGGACAAGAAACAGCTCAGACCCTACCCCTGTTTTAAAATATCAGAACCAGAGGCTTGGATCAGTCGATTGAATGTCCAACTCGGTAGGCTCAGGTCACAATCCCAGGGTTGTGGGATCGAGCCCTGCATTGGGCTGCGTACTGAGTGTGGAGCCTGCTTAAGATTCTCCCTGGTCCTCTGCCCCTCCACCGTGTGCACACGTGCGCTCTCTCTTTCTCTCTCTCAAATTAAAAAAAAAATTCTAAAATATCAGAACCAATATTTCTTTCATTTTAATATCTCTTGACTACTTTCTGATTCTTTTGCCATGGTGTTTTGATTGCTAGGATTCATTTATTCCTTCAATAAGATTTATAAGAAAAATAACAATAGTAGTAATTTACAATACTTTAGGATTTACCAAGCTGCCAGCTTCTCGTGCTCTTTATCCATGATCTTATTTTATCTTCATATCCCCTAGAAAGATGGGCCCGCGCAGATTGTACCTGGAAGATCGGGTCTCAGCGCAAATACAGAACTCTTTCCTACACACCTCACCCGACTGGACAGACTTGGCCTCTCCTCCCCAGTACATTTCTTTTGCTCCTCATTCTGTCCTTTTATCTTTACTTCTCCCTTCTCCATTTTGTTTCCCTTTTCTCCTTGACTCTTAGCGTCCTCTGTGACCACTTGGCACCATGATGCTTGTTTACCTCCATTCAGCATGACACTTACGCCACGTCTAGGATCTTGCCATTCAAATGGAAACTCAGTTTATTCTAACTGAGTTACTTGAGCTGATTCATTGCGGATGATCAAAATGGTCCCTTCTTCAATAAAACCATGGGGGGGGGGCGGTTCTGGGGAACGTGTTCTGTTTCTGTTTTCCTTCCCCTGTATCACCTGCCTCAGGATTTGCAAAGTCCTTACTGTTAGTCATGCATTCTCTGCTCTTCACTAGACAGTGACTGCTTTTGCTATAAATACCCCAGTGCCCGCGAGCAGAAAAGATTTTCTACATTTTAATGTTTTTTTTCTCTGCAAATTATGTTTTAGATTTTAGGATTTTCAGAAGAAAAGATCAAAGGGAGTCATCAAGGATAGATTCTTTTTCTGAATAGTGAAGCCTAAATGGCCACAGCCTCAGTCCTTCAGACTCCAGAGATGCAGGAAGGACGTCTGGCAGTAAAGGTAGAAGAGGAAGAGGGGGATTGTGCCTCTGGGCAGGAATCTGGCCCGTGGAGAGATCACCCGCATAGCAGAGAGATCTTCCGTAAACGCTTCAGGCAGTTCTGCTACCAGGAGACCCCTGGACCCCGCGAAGCTCTTCGAAGGCTCCGCGAGCTGTGCCGCCAGTGGCTGAGCCCAGAAACGCACAGCAAGGAGCAGATCCTGGAGCTGCTGGTGCTGGAGCAGTTCCTGACCATCCTGCCCGAGGAGCTCCAGGCCTGGGTGCAGGGACAGCACCCGGAGAGCGGGGAGCAGGCGGTGACCGTGCTGGAGGATCTGGAGCGGGAGCTGGACGAGCCGGGAGAACAGGTGGGAGAGGGCAGGACAGAGGTCGGTAGCCGTAAGAATGAGTGTGGGGTTTCTGTGCCGCAACAGGAAGAGGACGAGGATTTCTTTGTGCCTGATGTGGTCTATTGTGGGTGCCCCATCCTTCTGCCTGTTTCTTCCTGCTAGTTTCTTGGTCCTTCTTTTCCCGTGCGGTGGGCCTGAGGATGCCTCCTTACGATGTCTTCTCTGACATTTGATTTCTTTTTTTTTTTTTTTTTTTTTTTTTTTTTTCAACGTTTATTTATTTTTGGGACAGAGAGAGACAGAGCATGAACGGGGGAGGGGCAGAGAGAGAGGGAGACACAGAATCGGAAACAGGCTCCAGGCTCTGAGCCATCAGCCCAGAGCCCGACCGCGAGATCGTGACCTGGCTGAAGTCGGACGCTTAACCGACTGCGCCACCCAGGCGCCCCCCTGACATTTGATTTCTAACCGTCCTTAATTTCCAGCAGGTTCCAGCCTGTGCCCGTGAGCAGGAAGAGTTGGTGAAGGAGGAGGCAGGTCGGGGAGCAGCCCAGGACTCATCAAGCGGCCAGCCCCCAACCTTGGAAGGGCCGCGTCCGTGCAGGTCGCGGGAGGTGTGCCTGCTTCGGGAGATCGGTGAGGACTGGAACTTCCTCAGAGGCCTCCCTCACTCCCTCACCGTCCATCTGCTCAGCGTCTGCTGTGTGCCAGGCGTTGTGCTTGGTCCTGAGGACACTGTGACCTGCATGGAGGGGTAGTGGGGGGAAGGTTGCGGCCTGGTGGGGAGAAGACAGTCCCCTGACAGTTACAGTTCAGTGTGTCTTCTCCCTGAGGTCCGGGCATCCTTGTCTAGGTGGGGGAAGTACACAGAACCGTGCTTATGTGTCCCCTGCCCCCCACCCTCCTGGTTGCTTTTTTTCTTTTCCGTTTGGAAACATGACATTCATGTGATCCATTTTCTCATTTCAGGGGATGAGGCTGGGGCTTGGAGTGTGCAGTCAGCCCCGAAGAGGGAGCTCTGTAAAGAGAAGAAACGTCTTGTGGAAGTTCCTGAGAAACTGAACGGTGACACTCTTCTGGGGCCTGAGTGTGCAGACACATGTGACCAGGAGGGCAGGTGGGAGAGGCAGCGGGCCAGCTCCTCGGCGGAGAGACCCTATGTCTGCGGTGAGTGTGGGAAGAGTTTCACCCAGAACTCCATCCTGATCGAGCACCAGAGGACACACACCGGGGAGAAGCCCTACGGGTGTGATGAGTGCGGACGGGCCTTCAGCCAGCGCTCGGGTCTGTTCCAGCACCAGAGACTCCACACCGGGGAGAAGCGCTACCAGTGTGGCATCTGTGGCAAAGCGTTCAGCCAGAACGCGGGGCTCTTCCATCACCTCCGGATCCACACGGGGGAGAAGCCCTTCCAGTGCAGCCAGTGCAGGAAGAGCTTCAGCCGACGTTCTGTCCTCATTAAGCATCAGCGAATTCACACTGGAGAAAGGCCTTATGAATGTGAAGACTGTGGCAAGAACTTTATTTATCACTGCAACCTCGTCCAGCATCGGAAGGTCCACCCTGGGGTGGGTGCCGCTAGCCCCCTGGAGCAGGTAGGGCAGAGGCTCCTGGTGTCGGACCCTAGTGGAGGTGGTGGGGCAGGCTCTCACTTTGTCCCTGAAGCAGAGTCCTAGGAAAAGAATCGTTCGGTCCTCTGGAGCGCAGACTGTGGAAGTTGTCCGTGTTTTTATGCTGAGAGAAGCATAATATGTTAAGTCCATCTGTCAGCTTCTCTGAGGTCTGTGACATCTGTGTTTGCAGTAGTGAACACTGTTGTGGTGACTTCATCAACTGGTCCCACACCTGTCTGTGCAGAAAGTTCTCCAGGTGTGCTCTAGGAAAACTCCTTCGTCCGAGTTCTAAGAAACTTTTTTTAAAAAGTTTTAAAAAATTACATGCTACCTGAATACACAATTATGTTAAAAGTAGTTCGAGTATTTAAAAATTAATTTAAAAATAATGGCAGTAAAACTTGCAACTTAAATGATTTGATTGTTTTCTCATAAGATATGATAATTTGCTTTTTAACCTACAAAAGGGGACAGATAAATCCTCCCATAGATACACAGAAGGCTTCTCCCTGTTAAGAACTCTGTAGAGTTCCACTGACTCCGCCTTCAGTGAGGAACCAAGGACCCAAGTGAGGACACATCAATGTGTTACTGTTGCTCGAGATTTCAGAGTTGTGTAGACCAAGAAACTTATCTAAAAATCTGGTATCTCACTTCTGATCTTCATTATGAAAATATAGGCCTCTTTGCATTTTTCCTGTGATTTATAAGCATTTTTGGATTTTGCTTTATTTATTTAATCCTTAGTTATACAAAATTTCAAACATATACAGAAGTTGAAAAGTGTGATCAGCCTTCCACGTTGATTGTTTTTTATAAGCTCCATGCTTCTCAGCATTACCTATTAATTACCACCAAGGTCATGCTTAAAAAAACTTCTTTCCCTTAACACTGATTGAACGTTTACCAAGCTTTATACTAAGCCTAGGACACAAAGAAATGGGAATCTATGGTGATGACAATCCAGATTAGAGTACCAAATACACTGCAGGTCACTTAACCATGATAGAAACATCATAAGGGACCCTACAGATCACTTCTGTGTCCCTTATACAGAAACGGAGGCTGGAAGTGACTGCGGACCTTTCAGCTGGTTCACCGAGCTGGAGCTGGAACCCTGTCTCCTGATTCCTAGTGTTCTTTCTAAGCATCTGGAAGCATTTTATCCCCATGTAGAAATGACTAGTATAAGGAACTTCCAGGATTTAGAAGGCACTGAGGTTAGAAGGAACTTCCAGGATTTAGAAGGCACTGAGGCACAGCTCAATAAAGCCTCCCGTCTGTGCATGTTGCTCTGTTCGGTTTACAGCCGAGTTCCAGGAAGCACTCCTTCCACTGATCCCTCATTTGGGGCATTTTATTTATTTTTAATGTTTATTTATTTTTGAGACAGACACAAAACGCAAGCAGGGCAGGGGCAGAGAGAGAGGGAGACACAGAATCCAAAGCAGGCTCCAGGCTCTGAGCTGTCAGCACAGAGCCCGGCCAAGGCTGAACGTACAACCCGAGACATGAGACACTGATGCGAAGCAAGTCAGGCCATACCTAACTGAGCCACTCATGTGCCCCTTATTTATTTTTGTAGTGAATGATTTTTTTTTTTAACTTTTAATTTACTTAGAGGGACTTTTCAAGAAGATAATTCATTCTGTTATGCCCAGAATTCGTGATCCCCAAAGACCACCAGGGGCAGTCGCATGCAAAAGCAAAGAGCCTTTATTCGAGCTAGCATCAAGAGCTCAGTCCCTACCGCACCGGCCTTGAGAGATACCAGGAGAGAAGGGCTGACAGTTTCAAAGCACAAAGGTTTTATAGGGTCTGAGGGCAGCCGATTGATGTGAAAAAGGAAGGACTGGCCGTGTGAAGCTTGCTGGGGAAGGGTCAGAGTCCTGTTACGCAGGTCAGGTCGCTGGGCATGTTTTGATCAGGAATTTTGAATGGGTGAGCAGGAGGTTACTCAAGGGGAGGAGGCGTGGTCTAGGTGAAGGACACAGAACAAGATGGAGTTGGCCGGCGTAGGTCCGCCCTTTCAATTCTTCATCTGATTCAAGTATGAAAGCCAATTAAGAAAGGAGCCTTATAGAAGGCCCTGGTGGCGTAGTATGAATTGTGCGATCCGACTTCAGCCAGGAGTCCGCATCCTGCAGTGTGGTTGAGCCCGGCAGCGTCAGGCTCTGGGCTGATTGTGCTCGAGCCTAGAGCCTTGTTCAGCAATGTCTCCGTCTCCTCTCTGCTCCCTCCCAGGTTATTTGTCTCTCTCTGTCCAAAAAATAATAAATGTTGAAAAAAAAAAATTAAAAAAAAAAAAAAAAAAGGGAGCCTATCTTTTCCCTCATAGGTAGCCATTTTTCTAGTATCTTACATATCTTCAGTGTTTCTTCATGGAAATACAAGAAAACGTGAACATATATAACCTTATTTCCTTTGTTCCACGGAAAGATGGTGTATATATTTTTTTTTTTTTTAAATTTTTTTTTTTTCAACGTTTATTTATTTTTGGGACAGAGAGAGACAGAGCATGAACGGGGGAGGGGCAGAGAGAGAGGGAGACACAGAATCGGAAACAGGCTCCAGGCTCTGAGCTATCAGCCCAGAGCCCGACGCGGGGCTCGAACTCACGGACCGCGAGATCGTGACCTGGCTGAAGTCGGACGCTTAACCGACTGCGCCACCCAGGCGCCCCAAGATGGTGTATATTTACACTGTTCAACCCCTTGCTGTGTTCATGAAACAATACAATCTTTAGAGAAACAGCCAGCTTCCTCTCTGTTTACACGTGGACAGTATCTCATTTGCTGGTGCTCCATACTTTTAACACACTGGTGTAATGCACAACCACTACTTTGAAATGTTACAAATTATTTCATTCCCCTCCCTAATGTACTTCAAGTCAAACTTTAAAAGCTAACAACTTCCATGTGAGCTGGAAAACAGGGTTTCGGCAACTAGAGGTGGACATAATTCTTCTACAGAGAAATGCAGAGTGATGGGGATGGTTTCAGTCTCGTGTATTTGGCTCTGTATTCTCAGCATTTCAAACCATTAGTGTCGCCGCTTATGGGTAATTGTAGGCCTTCTCAAAAATCTTATTTTCTCAAGATTGTATTTTACTGTATCTTGAGGTTTAACTATTTCCAGAGGAAATACATATAGATTTTAAAGTGAAGAAAAATATAGTAGACTTAAGTTTGAAATAAAATCAACTTCTCAAGTAAACATATATTCCATTCAGTAATATGAGACATACAGTCTAATAATCTGAGTTTGTAAGCATCACAGATACCTCTGAATATGCCAAAACAGCATGTTTGGATAATTCCATTATATCAGCTCTTAAAAGACTTAAAATATGAACAGATCAGGATTTTAAAGGATATAGTTCTAATGGATTGTTTTTACAGCTGCAATTGAAGATTGAATGTTTGGTTTGTTTTGTGCTTGTTTTTGTTTTTTTGTTTTCACAGCTTTTCAAAAATTCTAAATTTTCTCAATAACTGATAAAAATGCCAAGAAAGAAAAGATGTTATCTGTGCTGTAGAGGCATATACCACTCGAGTGCAGTGATGGTTAACATGATCAAAACTACTGACAGTTCATCAAACTAACTTGCCTTGTTTTCTGATACGGATTGTTCTTGTAATTATTTTATCTGGGATGCACATTTGTCATTAGTTGACTTAACCGCTAGACAGGGGCATGTAGGCCCTGGCCTTTCCTATGATTACTCCACCTTCCTGGCAGGGTGCTCTTAGGTGTTGTCTCCCTTTACATTTCTGAATTACCCTCACTTCTCTTTTCTTTTTCTACCCTGGCTCTTTTCACTCAACCCATTGGGTCTCTGGCATTGATCTCCTTTCAGCTGCTCTGTAAACCAGTAACCATCTCTCCTTATGCCTTTGAAAAGCCCCAGTCTGAAAGACTAGTCAGTTTTATGGCTGAGCAAGGTGTAAGAAGTACTGATTCAAATCCAATTAAAAAGACTTATTGGTTCGAGGGATGCCTGGCTGTCTCACTCAGAAGAGTGTGTGACTCTTGATCACAGGGTCATGATTTTGAGCCCCACGTTGGGTGTAGAGATTACCAAAAATATAAAAAAGCCTTACTGGTTCTTGAGGGATAGTACAGCACCCCTCTGAGCATTGTTAGGACAGTGGACACTGTATGTCAAGAAATGACTGAGAATTTTGCAACTGAAAGCTATCTAGAGCTGTAGGTAAAAGACCTGAAGACTCTCTTTCACTATAATTTTTATTTGAGGAACCAAATCTTCAAGGAGAACCAAGTCTCTGTCCAGATTTTGTATTTGAAAATGACTTCTATTTTCTCTATCTGACAATATTTTTCCTTTAAACAACAGTTTATAGTGGAGGATTGTTTTACATTTTTCCAATAAGACAAAAAATACCTCTGAGAAAATTTTAAAACAATGGCATATCTAAAGTCAAAATTATAAAATATGAAGTATCTTCTCAGGAGCAGTTTTGAAATCTATGTACCAGTATACATGTGTGTCACTGGTTAAATGTTGAGTTAGAAGTTGAGAGAGAACGTAAAAGTTGAGAGAAAAGTAGATTATTTGTAGAAAGAGCTGGAAGATAGCGGAAAGTATCTGCAATAGAGGAAACAGGGTGAAGAAGGCCCAGCTAAGACAGGCTCAAGAGCCATGAGTGTACAGGGGTGGGGGCCAGATGCAGAGGTCACGGAACACTTTGTTAAAGCATAATGGAATCATTGAAAGTATTTTGTTGTACTATAGGAGTTTCTTAACAAAAAATCAGAAAATATTAGCTTTAAGAAGAAATTTTGGGGGCGCCTGGGTGGCGCAGTCGGTTAGGCGGCCGACTTCAGCCAGGCCACGATCTCGCGGTCCGTGAGTTCGGGCCCCGCGTCGGGCTCTGGGCTGATGGCTCAGAGCCTGGAGCCTGTTTCTGATTCTGTGTCTCCCTCTCTCTCTGCCCCTCCCCCGTTCGTGCTCTGTCTCTCTCTGTCCCCAAAAAATAAATAAACGTTAAAAAAAAAAAAAAAAATTTAAAGAAGAAATTTTGAGTTGAGCAATTTCATACCTGCATGAGAACAGTGAAGTCCAAAGTGGTTAAACACTCGTTGTGATCTATTTTTTAATCACATTAAAAATTTTAAAGTTAAAAATCTTAAAATTTTTTAAAACAAAACTGTGAACAAAGATCATTGTGAATTATATAAGGTTTCACAGGCACTTGGACTTGGAGGCTCAGAACCTTTTAGGCCTCTGCAAACAGCAACAGCAGCAACAAAACAGGATGGAAAAAGGAAAAGGAAGAACGAAATGTGAGAACAAAAAGGAACCAGGCAAACTTACACGCTAAAACTGGATTAGGCCAACAAGTGGTGACCAAAGAGAAGGAAAAAATAAAAAGAGACGTTGTTACCAAGAAACGTGCTTTGTCCATAAATAATACCTATTAGCCCTCTGGCTCTCAATTGGTCCATGTGTCTTAGCAGTGAAAAGAGTCCCACTGCTCTTCACTCCTCACTCTTCTCCGTGCTCTACGTAACAAAGAGGAGGCAAGCACAGTGTGTAAATCACTGATTTCTTTTTTTTAGGTCTCTCTGGACTCACACCCAGTTTTCCATGCCAACGTCTCAGCTCTATGATGAAGCCGCTGCTTCTGAATATATACCTGTGTTAGAATCACCTGGGTTGTTTGAACTGCAGTTTCCTGGGCACTACCACAGACTGGCTGAATGTTTGTGAGGGCAGGACCTGGGAATCTGCATTTCAGCTAGCGTATCGGTGGTTGTCAGACTTGAGGTAGCTATATGTAATGTATTGCCCAATCTAGGACACTTCTGAGAATGAAAGGGATTGCTGTTAATAATTACAGCCAGCCAAGAGGCATAAATCAGGATGTATGGTCTTCCTACTTAAGACTTTTCCTGCTGAGGAGATAGAAGAAGAAGAGACAGAAAGAATACAATGTTCTCATGAAAGCTAAGGTAGAGCATCTATGAAGGAGGCTGTGGGATGTTTAGGTGTAGCCACCTAGACCAAAGTAGCCACCATCTGCCTGGTTTAAAATAATCCCCATTAACACATTTATTGGATTAGGTAAGAAGGGGTGGGTATGCCTATAAAAACAACACCCACCTGGAAAAGCCCCCCCCCCCCCCAAAAAAACCCCACAAACAACAACAAAACGCTTAAAATAGCTAGTTACTTAAGATGAGCCTGTTGAGACTATGGCTTACCAGACAAGAGAGATGACGTTCCAGAAGCATAGGAGCATTTCAGTGGTATAGGATCGATGGACCAGTATGGGCTGTTCACCTCTAACATACAGAGGAAGCGTGGGAATATAGCGCGCCAGATCACAACCTCGCAGGAATAAGGCAGAGGGCAAGACGTTTGAAGCAAGTAGCTAGGATGAATGAGGTCCAGAGATTGTGCCAAGTTTCCTAAGTTATCATAATTGATGCACATTCTTCACGGGCTGTGCAACCAGAGCGCTCTTAACACCGCAGGGTACCAAACACAGGCTGACCAGGCCCCACATTCCGCAGTTGCCCCGGGGCCATTCACAGCGGGGACCGGGCATGTGGCTTCCCCTCACTTTCTGCTAATTCTGCAGAGTCAGGGATCTGTAAGTGGTTAGGTTGCTCAAAAGGACCGGAGTCACATGCACAAAGATTGAGACGGTGGACAGCAAGCCAGCACCTGCCCCTCTTAATGCCGCTTTGCTCAGGTGGGTGTCGATTATTGCTTCGGACCCTGGGGGCCGAGTGGGCAATGGGTATCACGGGACCAGGGTACTAGGGAACGGAGGACTGCGTCCCAGGCTGAATGGCTGCTGGACACCCGGTGGACCCGCCTGCGCTGTGCAGAGGCCACCGTGGGCCCCTGCGGTGGGAGCCGGCCAACCACTGAGATGCGGGACCTCTGTGCTTCCTAGAGGGGCGGTGAGGAGCGGGTGGAGGCGTGCCCGGGCGTCGTGACGTACTTCCGGTCTCGTGTGAGCCACAGCTAGCGCGAGCCTTTTCCGGCGGGAGGCGCCCGCGAGGCTTGGTGGCCGCTCCCAGAGACGCAGTCTCGTCTGTGTCGCCGCCCGCGGACGTGGACGCGAGCGCTGCGCGGGCCACCCGCTTCGGGGCTCCGGGCGCTGGTGCGTCTTTACGGCCGGCGGCGGTTTTCTGTCCCCCTCCGGAGTCCTGTTTTCATCGAGGCCTTCGTGGCGGTGGTCATGACCTTGCACGCCTGTGCCGGGAGGGTTTGTCTCGGAGGACGTATGGTGACGGGGTCTCAGGACTTAGAAAACGGAGGAAAGTGTGATTTCCTCGGCTCAGAGAACGTTGAGAAGTGAGCGCGTCCTTCGAGCGGACATGGGCTGCCGGTCGCGTAGTGCGGGTCTCCAGGTGCTTTTAAGACCCCTCCAGCTCACAGTGCCGTGGGGAAGAGGGGAACGCCCCTGCGATACCGCGCGGATGCCCGGAGCCGGGGGTGGGGGCACTTCCCGGTGAGGCGGAGAGCTGAACGGAAACGGGCGGCCGGAGGCAGCCGAGGGAAGGTGGGTGTGCTGTGGCCGGGGCAGAGAGGATGAGCAGGTGACAGCTGCGATACCCCAGGGAACTTGGACTTGAAAAGGCAGTGTGCCTCTCCGTCCTTTCCGTGTGACGGCTCCCGCACAGAATGCACGCGATGTGTGTGCGCACATCTGCCTCGCAGAAGGGAGCAGGCCCCGGCTACGCTGCCCCGGGTCCGCGCGCGGCCACCTCGTAGCCCAGGTGGTCAATGTGCTGGCGCTGCTCCGGGAGGCGGACTCCGCAGAGACGGGAGTCCCTGTCTTCACGCACGGGAGTAGCGTCATCTTACTAGGCTTCTAGAAATTTCAGGAGCGGGGTGGCAAATGGATTGGAAGGGGGTAGGACTGGAAGCAAGAGAGAGGAGAGATGCGCAGGCGTCACGAAAAGAGCCGGTACTGTAAGTTGGTGAAAGCCAGGTGCTGGCCGTGGAAGTGACGAGGGTGGAGTGGATTGTGTGGAAGACGCGGATTTAACTCCACTTGGTGTCTAAGGGAGAAAGATTGTTGAAAAGGTGCTGAGGACAATGCCCGGCACGTGGTACGTATTACGAGCTTTATTTTCAATATAGTTAGGGATAATTAGGTTTTTGGATTAGATAGATGGTAAGGGGAATGAATGTGTCATTTTTAAAGAAATGGGTAGGCCCGCCTGAATGGCTCAGTCCTTAAGTGTCCAGCTCTTGGTTTCGGCTCAAGATCTTGTGGTTTGTGGGAGCCCTAGTTGGGCTCTGTGCTGACAGCCAGAGCAAAGTAAAGTTAAAAAAAAAAAAAAAAAAAGAAAGAAAGAAATGAGTAATTTTGGAAGAGCCATTGATTATGAGGGGAAAATGATGAGTTAATTTTTGGTGGTGTTGAGGTGCTTTTAAGACCTAGGACTGGAAGAGTCTTACACCATTGGACTATAATGGTCTTGATTTCCAAAGTAAGACTGGGAAAAGAGAATAGATTTAGGAGTTGTTAGGTGACGGCGTCTCAGTTCTCAGATGCTACTGAATGGACGAGATTGCCCAGAATGAATGTGGAATGAGAAGGCCGGATCCCGGCTTAGGGTAACCGGACATTTCTTGGCAAGCTGAAGAAGAGCCATAAAGTGGACTTAAGAATGAGCTTTTGACAAGCCCTTATAGAAGCTTGAGCACCAGGTGTTGGTCTAAGCACTTTACAAAAGCCAGCTCATGGGAAAACAGCCAGAAGATTGCAGTTCCTTAGAAGATTGGGAGTGGTTAGAGTGTTAGGAGCTGCAGAGGCATCTGGTAAGTAAAGGACCGAAAAATACTCACTGGGTTTGTATACAAGGGGGACTTTGGTTAATTGACTTGGGACCCCTAACTCAAATGTGGGACACCCCAACTGACATGCACACTGTTCTTTTCTAAAACTAAAAATGCCTTTGAAAGAATCTAGCATAATTCTTGGCACAGAGAGGTTGATTTATAAATATGATTGACTAAATCTGTGACACGCAATTCAAGTAAGCAAAGCTGTTTGCATTGTTTTTGTTATCGGGATATTTCACGTTATCTGAATATTTCACTTCAGTTTCTAGATCTAAAAGCTACTAGTATTGTTCTTTAGTCCTAAAGTAACCGAATTGTCTATAAGTCAATTTTAGGACATTTTTCTAATGACATTTTGTGCTTGTCTTATCTTTTACAGGGCGTCTTTACCTTCAAATCATTGACTTGACCACAGCAATTCACTCTGAGTAAATATGTTCTTAGTTTGGAGTTGATCTCTGTTAACAGTGATGTGTTATGCCTTATCACCAGCTTTATTAAGCCCCTGCTACTGTTGTGGTGAACTGCTTTGCCCAGGAATGATTCAGTCCAACCCTTTTGGGCTGCAGAAGAACAGAAGGGATGTCAAATAGTTAAAGCATCTAGCCTGCACAGAAATGGTGCTTCTGACAGTTCTTCGGACAAAACTCATGGCAGTTCTGTTAGGAGGATTCCCTTGGGCCTCAGGAGTCCAGCTCCAGGCAGGCTCTCCGCCGCCAGTAGCTGCGGCCCGAGATGCACAGCAAGGAGCAGATCCTGGAGCTGCTGGTGCTGGAGCAGCTCATGACCATCCTGCCCACGGAGCTCCTGGCCTGGGTGTGGGGGCAGCATCCAGTGTATAGGGAGGAGGCTGTTACTGGACTGGGGGCTTGTTGAGGAAGCTGGACCATCCAGGAGGAAGGTGAGATAAGGAAGAAACAATCTATTGCTAGAGGCAGGTATTCTCTCAAGAGAGAGAGCAGAGACTTGAAGTTTCCTCTCAAGTGTAGTGAGAGGAAATGGCTAAGATGCATTGGCCAGAGTTGTGTTCCCCTCCCTGTCCATTTATTCCCTGTCCTTGTAGGTCAAAGGAAACTCTGCTTTCTGTCCTCCTCTTCTGTTCCCCGATTAATACTGGGATCTATGCTCTAGAACCCTAGCAGATATCTCCCTGGTCAAATTTCTCTAATTGTCCCTGGGTCCTTTGTCCTCCTATGGGGACAGGAAGGGCAAACGAGGGCCCTAAGGGCAAATGGCTTGCCTGGCAGCAGCATTAAGACTCACGGGGCGGGGAGGGCAGGGCAGCTCCAGCCAGAAACAGGGCAGCTCAGTTCTGAATCTACTGAGGAGAAAGAGGAGATCCTACTGGGGAAAAGATCAGAAATGTCTTTTGCATTTTTCCAAATGAACCTCATCACTAAACCTTTTGCCTACCTTTCACTTGATGTCTTGTTTCATTTTTACCTTGTCCCTCTAAGCACATTGTTTTAACCTTGATTGTCATTCTCCCTTCACTACTTTGCACCGACGTTGTTGGAAATCCTGCTTCTATTGAATGGTTGTTTCTCCATTCTAACTGAATACTGCCAGCTTCCCTGGGCCTGACCTTTTATGCCAAAGGCAGGACAGCATTTTTCTACATTGAAGCCAATAGAAAATGACTCAAAGGCTACATATAATAGAAAAGTTATTAAATGTGCATTTTCAAAGACTTCGTGTAGAAAACAAAACTTGTTTAGTATTTTTATGTGCTCATTGGACAAGCACACATATGTGCCCAAATTGTAATCATATTGAACATACCAACTGACACTACTTTTAAATTTAGTATTACATTATGGACATATTTCCCAAGAGTTACATGTAATGTATACATATGGCTGACATAAGTTCCATTGTACAGATATCAAATTATTTTTCGTTTTTACTTTAATCAGGTCTTTATTAAAAATTAGCTGTCCAGAATGAGTTGACGTTTATGGAACAAATAAACTGAAGCTTATGCAGCAGGCTTCTTGTCTTACATGGTGGGTTTCTCTTCTGCACACTTCTCAGCTGCTGGTCTCCTATATTTATGACATGAGTCTAGGCATTTGACAGCTTTCTTGCTTCTGGTATAAAAAGAAGTATAAACTCCTCTAATTCCTTTCCTCCTCCTGAAATCAATCATTTTCCCAAGGACCCCAGATTCTGTTTAGTAAGAAATGGTATTTTAAAACCAAAGATAAGGTGCTAGGAATGCTCATATTGTTATTGGACATTGTTCCTAGGCCTTTCAGTGCTCAGAGCTAGGAAGAATTTAAGATAAAGTATGTATTGTGAATTCATACTGACAGTTCGAGTTCAAATTCAGGGCCTTAATGTTTCATCTGCATCTCCTTTTGGAGACTTCTCAAAGACACTGGGAATGATAGAGTATCAAATACTCATCTGTTTTATCCCACAGTATCTCAGTGGCCTCAAAAAAAATGTTAGCATTACCATCAAATATGGTTTTTATAAACAGCTTAATGGTGGTGCCTGATTTTTCCATTCTTTTGTCCTTAAGTTCTATATCATTGGGTATATACAAAAAAATTATTCTGCAAAGGACATTGGAAATAATTTCTCTTTTGTGTGGTTATGTCACCAGCAGGTACACATTTAAATTCAGTTTGTTTCATTTCTGTTTCAATGTTTAGGGATTGCTTTTTTTATTTTATTTTTTATTTAAAAAAATTATTTTTCGGGGCGCCTGGGTGGCGCAGTCGGTTAAGCGTCCGACTTCAGCCAGGTCACGATCTCGCGGTCCGTGAGTTCGAGCCCCGCGTCGGGCTCTGGGCTGATGGCTCAGAGCCTGGAGCCTGTTTCCGATTCTGTGTCTCCCTCTCTCTCTGCCCCTCCCCCGTTCATGCTCTGCCTCTCTCTGTCCCAAAAAAATAAATAAACGTTAAAAAAAAAAAAAATTATTTTTCATTTTTTAAATTATGTGAAATACAAAATTTTATACATGAAATCTATAAAATGTTTTCAAGAAAATTCTCCTTTTCCTCCTCCTGTTCCCTCTCTCGTATAGGTAACCTTTTTTGCTCTTTAATGGTTTATCCTTTTATTATTTATTTATTATAGGCACATGTGTACATGCACACCCTTCCCTTTTAAAAATAACACACTATAGGGGCGCCTAGTGGCTCAGTCAGTTAAGCATCTGACTTTGGCTCAGGTCATGATCTCTTGGCTCATGGGCTCAAGCTCTGCATCGGGGTCTGTGCTGACAGCTCAGCCTGGACCCTGCTTCGGATTCTGTGTCTCCCTCTCTCTCTGCCTCTCCTCCGCTTGCTCTTTCTCTCAAAAATAAATAAACATTAAAATTTTTTTTAAATAATAAAAAAATTAAAGTAACACACTATAGTTTATGTCATAAACTCAATACACATCTGTCTTACATGAAACATTTTTTTTTCTTCCCTCTAGCATGTAGTTTGAATGAGACTTGTTCAGTGAGCAAGTAACTGAGTAAGGTATGTGTGAATGAGGGAATTAGGCTGAAATTTTCAATCTCTTCTTTCAGGTGATTTGGTCAAAATGGAAAATGAGAAGGTGTTTCCAAAGTAGAAGAAATCTGAAGAAATAACATGCCAACAGGGACACACTGCTAGATTTGATGGCAATATTCTTAAGTGCCTGAATTATGTAGAAGTCCCAAAATACCAGAGAACCCTAGAAATAGATCTATGATTGCATAAGTGATGAATGTGGAATGAGTTTCAGAGCTCCATCCTTATCCAGCATCTGAGATACACAGGAGAAATGCCATGAAGATGAGAAATGTGGAAAAGCTTTTAGTCCAAGAGTGCTGGCTTCATTGAAGATAGAATTCCCACTGAATTAGACCCACAAATATGGAGAATATCGAAAAGCTCTCAGTGCAGACACTGGACTAGTTCATCATAGAGAACCCATGCTGGAGAGAGACCCTATAATAAAAGTGACAAGTATGGTAAAGCCTTGGACGGTCAGCCCTTAACCAGGACCAGAGACTTCACACCAAGGAGAGGTGTTACCATCTTAACAAGTGTGGGAAAGGTTACAGTCAGAACACAGAGATTTTTCACTATCAGAGTCTGTGTTGGAGAGAAACTCTTCGTTTAATCGATGTAAGAATTTTCCTGGATATTTCATTCCTTATTAAATACCAGAAAACTCGAGAGTGTGAGAAGTTGATAAATGTGAATGGAAAAGCCTGTGAACAGTAGCATCTCATCTAACATTAAAAATTTTAGGGGAGCCTGGGTGGCTCAGTCAGTTAAGTGTCTATTTCAGCTCAGGTCATGATCTTGGGGTTGTGATATCAAGGCCCATGTCAGGCTCTACACTCGGCATGGAGCCTGCTTAAGATTCTCTTGCCCATCTGCCCTGCTTGCGCTCGCTCTCTGTAAACAAAACAAAACAAACTCTTAAAGTGTCCAGCATGTGAAATCAGCAAGGCAGAATTTCTTCATACCAGACCTCTGGGTGGTCTTTGATGGGAACTGGCCTTTCAGAATGTCCCTCAAAACCTTGTCAGATTCAACAGAACAAGCCATTTACTTTTCCTTAACCGTCTCCTCAAGCAAGGTGCCTGGGTGGTTCAGTCAGTTGAAGTCCAGCTTCAGCTCAGGTCATGATCTCGCAGCTCGTGAATTTGAGCCCTGTGTCCAGCTCTGTGCTGACAACTCAGAGTCTGGATCCTGCTTCAGATTCTGTGTCTCTCTGTCTGCCCCTCCCCAACTTGCACTCTTTTTCAAAAATAAACATTGAAAAAAAATTTTTTTTAAGTCTCCTCAAGCAGCTACATTATTTTAGTGATTCAAAGGGCTGCTTATGGACCACCAGTTCAGATTTCCAGATGTTTTAATTAGTTCTTAAATACAGTTCTCACAAAAGCTTGGACTGTTAAATTATTTTAGTGAAAATTTAAGTTATGTATAAAATACAAATAGGAATGTTATTAGATGATTATTTTAAATGCTGCAGTTATGATTTGCCAAGTCAAAAAACTTGTTCAGCATCTTTTTAGTAATGACATGGTGAGTTCTTGCACCTTCCGTTCCTATCTAGGGTATGATGTGTGACATGTAGCCCCCAGTTAAGACTCCAGACAAGAAAGATGCATCTTTATTTATTTTTTAAAGTTTATTTTTTTTTATTTTGAGAGCAAGAGTGTGCACACATGAGCAGGGAAGTGGCAAGAGCGGATCCCAAGCAGGCTCCACAGTCAGCAGGCAGCCCAGATTGAACTCACGAACCGTGAGATCATGACCTGAGCTGAAACCAAGAGTTTGGACACTCAACCGACTGAGCCACCCAGGAGCCCCAGGTGCATCTTTTTTTCAAAAAGAGGTGTATTGATTTGTATTAGGAAAACAGAAAAGACCCAAGTTAGTGTTCAAGGGAGAATAAGCAAACTCAAATGCCCAGGAAAGGCAGGTAATAAAAATAAAGGAAGCAATCCTAGAGTCACAAAGAAAAACAAAACCATTATTTTACATTGCATTAAGTTCAGGGAAATTGTTAGGATTCTCTTTATTTTGAATTCTACAGGAGAAAGATGATCAGGTTAATTATTCATTGCGACCACCATAAACAATGATCTTTTCCTACTCTTGAGTATAGTACAGTTGACCCTTGGACAACATGCGGTTAGGGGTACTGATCCCCTACACAAAAATCTCAGTATAACTTGACCCCCAAACACTTAATCATCAAGAGCCTACTATTGACCAGACTTGCTTATAACCTGAAGAGTTGAACACATATTTTGTATGTTATATGCATCACATACTGTATACAAAGAAAATGGTTTTTTTTTTTTTTTTCAGTTTTTAAAATTTTTTTAAAAGTAATCCCTACCCCCAGTGTAGAGCTCAAACTCAGGACCTAAGATCAAGAGTCACACTACATGTGAAAATTTGTGGAAAAAAGCTGAGGTTCTGAATGATGTTACCTTCCTCTAGATTTACTTTTGCTTCTACAGGCACTGAAGAATATAGTTGGGAGCGCCTGGGTGGCTCAGTGGGTTAAGCATCCGACTCTTGATTTTGGCTCAGGTCATGATCTCACAGTTTGTGAGTTCAAGCCCCACATCAGACTCTGGGCTGACCGTGCGGAGCCTGCTTGGGGTTCTCTGTCTCCCTCCCTCCCTGCTTCACCTCTGCTCATGCTTTCTCAAAGTAAATAAACAAACAGGCAAACAAAAAAATGAAACAGTGGCTTAGAATAACCATCCCATGAGATTTTGGGCCAGGAATTTGGTGAGGTCTCAGCTGGAAGTTTCTTCCATTTCGTGTGGCATCTTACAGTGGCACTTGGTGGTGTTTATCTGGCAGCTGGGTTTGCCGGAAAATCCAAGCTGCACTGCCATGCCCAGTGCCTTGGGGCAAGAACAGCTAGAAGGACGGTCTTGGGGCCTCCTTATGTGATCTTTGCAGTAGGGCCGTCGGACTCTTTCTGTGGTGGCTCAGGACTCCAGGAGCAATTGTTCCAAAAAACAGTGAAAGCTGCTGCTGTCCTTAAGGGCTCAGGCTGGGAAACTAAAACAGCATCAGTTTTGCTGTATTTTATTTGAGCTGTCCTCAAGCCCACTCAAGACTCAAGAGGAAATGACATAGACTCTACAGCTAAACAGGAAAAGCATGGAAAAATTTGTAGTCATCTTTAATTTTCCAAAATACCCTTATCCACCCAGATATAAAGCCTGGGGAAAAAATAATAAAGTTCTTTTTGGATTCTCTATATAATTGTTTAATTTTTTTTCTCCTTTCTTGCCTCCTTTTTAACTTCCCTAAAGACGCCCAGCATGACTCTGAGCTAATCAAGTGTATCTATGCTCATATTTTATGTACAAAGTAACAAAGTGATCTGACATTACAGTTTCACCATTTGAGTGAATTTTTCTTTTCATTTTAGAAGTAGTTAGAAGGCTTATCAAAATATCACAGGAGACGGCATTTTTTAAATGTTGGAATCACCTGGTTTATAAATTGTCCAAATGTTAGTAATAAACTAACGTCTATTCTGTGCCCCTACATCCCTGGGTTTCCCGCGTGTACGAGACAGGAACTCTGCTCCTCGGCTTCCCGTGTCTTGCCCCTCGACGCGCAGGTACTTTCTCCTGGCACTTGCACCGGTGACGAGACTCGCACCGCGCAGGTCGTGCCTGGGACTGGCACCCACGCGGCGGAGCCTACAAAATCGGACGAAGTCACAGAAGGGAAGACGACGGGCCAAGACGTCCCACGAGCAGAGACGCCAAGTCCCCAACAAAACACTGGCAAGTTGACGCTAAAAATCTATAAAAAGAATTACACACATTACAAAGTGGCACCAATTCCAGGTGTGCCAGGCCTCGCTCACCGTGGGGCGGGGCAGCGGGGACGGCGGGCGGGACCGGCAGGGCCGAGACCTGCAACACCAGCCAGCTCCCCGGCCACCTGCCGCGACCCTTGGGGCCTCCGGCTGTAGCGGAAGTGCGCTCGCGCCCACGGGGCCAACTCTCGCGACCTCGTGGGGCAGCGCGGGATCCGCCCGGCGAGTGCCCGCCCCTTCCTGAGGCTGGAGCGGAAGTGCGCGCGCTCCCGCCCGGCTCGCTTCCGGCCTTTGTGGGGCGCTGTGGGCTGTTCGGGCTCCCGGCGGCTTGGACCGCGTGACCCGTGGTCTCCCCGGGAGGGACCCGGCTGCTGGCCTCGGGAGCTGCAGGTGAGCGCGCTGCTGCTCTCCCCTGCCCTTCCCCGCCGGCCCGAGAAGCCGCAGGGGCGGGGATAGCCTTCGGGAGCGGCGTCCGCCGCCCTTTCACCTGCTGCGGGGCTGCCGCGCCGGTTTCGTGGTTTCCGCCACACGCCTGCCCGTTAAAAGAGGCCGTCTCAGTGTTTTATTATTACTTGTTTGCTCTCATCGTTGGTTGTGTTCCATTTGGTCGTCCTTTATTCTAGGGCTAAATGGAAGTGTTGCCTTTGTGAAGTCCTTAAACCCTTAGCACCTTTTACTGAATCTTTCTCTTTAATGTGTTCTTAAGTCTTTCGTATTCAGTTTCCGTGAGTTGTCGTGAATTACCGTGGGGGTGGCTTGCAAAGCGCAGAAGTAAATTGTTAGAATTTGCAGTTTTCGCTTATGGTGTAGCTTGTGTTAAAAGCGACGGCTTCTCCCTCAGGTCCACCCTTGCTGGAAGCACCGCTAGAGCTTCTGCACGGCCGCGATGGCGTCGGCCTGGGCTGCGCCGGCCCACGAGGAACAGGGTGCGCTTCTGGAAGTAAAGGTGGAAGAGGAGGAGGGGTACAGGAATACCACCAGACGGGATCAGAACCTGCAGAAGAACAACACCCACAGCAGGGAGGTCTTCCGACAGTACTTCAGACACTTCTGTTACCAGGAGACGCCTGGACCCCGCGAGGCGCTGCGCCGGCTCCGCGAGCTGTGCCGCCAGTGGCTGAGCCCAGAAACACACACCAAGGAGCAGATCCTGGAGCTGCTGGTGCTGGAGCAGTTCCTGACCATCCTGCCCGAGGAGCTCCAGGCCTGGGTGCGGGGACAGCACCCGGAGAGCGGGGACGAGGTGGTGACCGTGCTGGAGGATCTGGAACGGGAGCTGGACGAGCCTGGAGAGCAGGTGAGAAAATGAGAGATGGTTTGTGACTGAGATAAGGTAAGTTACGGATTTGTAGGCCAGAGCAAAGGACAGCATTATTCCACCAAGTCATGGAAATTTGGTTAATGTAGACCTAACTTATTTATATCTTTTTTATGGGAGGATCCTGTATTTCTGTAATGAGCTTATGGTTTCTAGTTGATGAAATGCTACTCAGAAACATTAGAAACAAGATTTATTTCATTATTATTTTTTTAATTTACATCCAAGTTAGCATATAGTGCAACGATGATTTCAGGAGTAGACTCCTTAGTGCCCCTTACCCATTTAGCCCCTCCCCCCTCCCACAACCCCTCCCATAACCCTCAGTTCTCCATATTTATGAGTTTCTTCTGTTTTGTCTCCCTCCCTGTTGTTATATTATTTTTGCTTCCCTTCCCTTATATTCATCTGTTTTGTATCTTAAATTCCTCATATGAGTGAAGTCATATGATGCTTGTCTTTCTGTGAGTAATTTCGCTTAGCATAATACCCTCCAGTTCCATCCACGTAGTTGCAAATGTCAAGATTTCATTCTTTTTGATTGCCGAGTGATACTCCATTGTGTATACACACACACACACACACACACACACACACATATACATATATACCATATCTCCTTTATCCATTCATCTGTTGATGGACATCCGGGCTCTTTCCATACTTTGGCTATTGTCGATAGTGCTGCTATAAACATGGGGGTGCATGTGTCCCTTCAAAACAGCCCACCTGTATCCCTTGGGTAAATACCTAGTAGTGCAATGCTGGGTCGTAGCATTTTAATTTTTTGAGGAACCTCCATACCGTTTTCCAGAGTGGCTGCACCAGCTTGCATTCCCACCAGCGGCGCAAAAGGGTTCCTCTTTCTCCACATCCTCGCCAACATCTGTTGTTGCCTGACTAGCATTACTGTTACTGTTAGCCATTCTGACAGGTGTCCGGTGGTATCTCATTGTGGTTTTGGTTTGTAGTTCCCTGATGATGAGTGATGTTGAGCATTTTTTCACGTGTCAGGCATCTGGATGTCTTCTTTAGAAATAAGATTTCTAAGAGAAAATGTTAAGTGAGCATAACGGGGTGCGCAGCAGTCTCTTGGAAGGGACATCGCTTCTGTTGCAGGACACAAGTAATTAAGAAATAAGGTCTTGCAGGTATATGCACTGCTCTGCATCCATTAAAGGATTAAAAGATGGAGAAATCAAGGTCACCATCTTGGAGGAATGTGAGGTCAGAGCAGAGAGGAAGGTTCAGAGAGCAGGGACGAGATTCCTGGAGTAGTAGAGCCCAGTTAGGTCCGACACATGGGTAGTGAGTAGAAGGGTTGAGAACAGAGTCCAGGACCTTGAGTATCACCTGTGGAGTGTAGAGTCTGTTCTGTAGGACACAAGCTTCTAACCTTTTCTCTTTAAGTGAGCTTCTCTAACGCCAGGATCTAACCAAATTATGTAGAATTCTGTTCTGTTTTGTTCCAACATTGATAAAAGACAGCGGTTCTCAACCAGTGGCAATTTTCTGCCCTAAAGGGCATCTGGTGATGTCTTGGCACATTTTTGGTTGTCATAGTGGGGGGAGGTGCTACTGGCATCGAGCGGCTAAAGGGTAAGGATGTTTTGGAATATCTTATAACGTATAGGATGGCGTCTTATAACAAGGATTTTTCTGACCCAACATGTCAATAGAATCAAGACTCAGAAGTCTTGGTATGAAGAGTATAAAACAGGGAAGTAATAAAACAAGAAGTGCAACTCAGCATTGGCAAGGGGGAGGAACATGTGGCAGAGTTTGAAGATCTGAGTTTGAAGTAGAGTCAAGACGGTGAGGCTATGAAGGATGAGGCATGTCTTAGGTAAGTATTAATTGGAAACGATGATAGATTAGATGGATAAAAAAGGGAAAACTCTCTACGGAGCAATCTATTCTAGGCTAAGTGCGGGGGATTTCAAGCTTGAGAGACTAGTGTAATTGAGGTGCTCCTAACAGAGTTCAAGGCTATCGGGGATGGTGGATTGGGGGAAAGTTCATTCGTTCAGAAGACGTTTATTGAACGTTTAATACGCACCAGGCACCATTCTAGGCACTGGAAACGCAGCAGTGCACAAAGCACAGAAGTTGCCTCTGTCTTGTAAACAGATTCTAGTCTAATGAGAGTAGTAACCAGGTGGTGCCAGGTGGAGATAAATCCTATATGAAAACAGCAATGAAGCAGAAAAAAGGTATACAGTGAATGAAGCAGAGATTGTGGGATTTTTGACAGACTGGTGAGGGAAGGCCTTCCAGATGGGGTGACATTTAGAGCAGAGATCAGGCTGTGCAGTCACCTAGGCTGAGGATATTCAGCCAGAGGAAATAGTGGGCAGGTGAGAATGTGCTTATCGTGGTAGAGATGCAGGAGATGAAATCAGGTAGTTAGAACGAGATCAAATCATAGGGGCACTTACAGGCCATTGTAAGGACTTTGGATCTTATTCTGAGATGGAAAGTCATTGGAGGGTTTTGAACAGAAGAGAGGTTTAATCTGACCTAAATGTTATTTATTTATTTTTATTTTTTAATGTTTGTTTATTTTTGAGAGAAAGAGCATGAGGAGGACGAGGGCAGAGGGAGAGGGAGACACAGAATCCGAAGCAGGCTCCAGGCTCCCAGCTGTCGGCACAGAGCCCGACGCGGGGCTCGAACCCACGAACCGTGAGATTATGACCCTGAGCCGAAGTCGGACGCTTAACCGACTGAGCCACCCAGGCGCCCTATGACCTAAATTTTAAAAATAATCACTCCAGCCGCTCTGTTGGAAGAGTCCTAGATTAGGGTTCATGGTGGGAGTGCAGGAGGCCCAGGGTCAAAGGTCGAAGCAGGGAAGCCCAGTCAACACTAATCCAGGCAGGAGGTACCAGTGGCTTGAACTGTGACAGTAGCAGTGGAAGCAGCGAGATGCAGTTGGATCTTGAGGGGATTTGTTTGAACATCGCATCGTGTCACATGGGTTTGTCATTCAAGGAGATGATAAAGGCGGGGAAAGAAGAAGGTTTGGAGTAGGGGTGGGAATCTAGAGTTACTAGGTTTTGGACGTGTTGAATTGTAGATTCCTCTTAGAACCCAATTGGAAAAGTTGGGCAAGCAACTCCACTCAGCAGAGGGATGTGTGCTGGAAATAACAAAATTGGAGCTTGTCATAATATGGGTGATATTTAAAGCTGTGGGACAAAAGGATCGACAGGACGGTGGAAAATGAGAGGGAGTGGCCAGGGAGATGGGAAGAGAACCAGAAGAAAGAATGGCACTCCCAAGTGCGGGCAGAAGTAATTCGGTTTTAAACATGTTGTCTTTGTACTGCCCTTTCCCTCAAAGCATGCTGGGGGTGGCTGATGGAATTTCATCTTGATTTCTGAGGCCTCACCAGAGATCCAGGGACAGAAGGAAGGCACAGCTCACTGTACTGGCCTTTTTCTCCTTCCAAATTGAGGTCTGAAAACCTTTTTCTGTCTGCCTCTGAGAGCATCCTACTGACTTTGGCTCTTACTCTGGGGTCAGAAATTACAGAACGAAGCTGTGTTGGAAGTAGAGGCAGCGTGTGGTGATTTCTTACTCCCAGAATGTAGCTGTTGCAGGATTGGGGGGTAACTTGAGGGTCTGTTGTATGCCAGTGCCCCCGCAATGTGCCTCATGCACAGTCTGAGTTATGCACGATCTGAGAAACCACCCAGGGACATGGAGCTCCTGAACCAAGAAGCAACAAAGTGTGGCCCCCGGATCGCTGCCTTTCATACCACGCTGGGGAAATACGATTTATTTTTAAATACAAGAGGGAGTGATTCCGTGGAGGAGTGGAAGCCAGAGTGAGTGAGTTTAGGGAGCAGAGGTCAGAGGTGCAGGAAGGGATGGGGTTGAAGGCAAGAGTTGAGGTTACAAGGTACGGGCCTTGATGAAGCAAAGGCCTCTTCCTCTAAGTGGAAGGGAGTAAGTGTGTGGGGGGTGACGAAGAAAAGAGTGGGTGATCTCTGATGTGACCATGACCTTGGACAAGGAGAGAACAAGGTCATCTCCTGGAAGGAAGTGGGGGAGGAGCCTCAGAAGAGCAGAGACTGTAGGGAACAGCTTCCTCCTCCCATCCCCTGTCTTTCCTCCCTCTTTCTCCTTTGTTCCCTCTGCCTTTTTGCCTCGTTTCTCCATCATTTCTCTTCACTTAGCCCATCCTTTTTTTCTTTTTCTCTTCTGTTAATTTCCCCCAAGTTCTTTTCTTGTGCTCGTTGCTTCCCTTTACCTTCTCTTCCTTCTCTCCTTCCTATTTTCTTCCTCTCGCATCTCCACTTTGAGCACAAGACAAAGACGTGACGGTGGCACAGCCAGCATTTTTTAGCGGTTCAGAACAGAAGGGCGGGGTTCCTGGAGGAGGTGGCTTGTATACAGGCCTTGAAGAATGAGGCGCGTTACAGCAGGCTGATGTCTGGAAAGAAGTGCAGGTGCCGGAGAGCCGGGTGTCACTGCCCCGGATCGGATCCTATACCGTTGTTTCCTGTTGGCAGGATGAATGTGTCCACCGTGTCCCTGTCCACACTGAGCAACAGGACACGCTCTTGCAGGAGACGGCCCTTGTGGGAACAGGATGGGAGCCTGGCATGTCCCTCCCATCCGGGGTTGCCCGGCTGAAGTATGAATCTCCAGGACCTGGAGCCCAGCCGGAGGAGCAAGGTAAGGAAGACGGAGCAGCTTGGGAGGAAGGGAAGACAGGCAGGCACAGGACCTGGGGCCTCTTTAGTTCCGTGTACCGTTTCTCCTCATCACAGTCAGGACAGCCTCTCGTGCACGGACTCTCAGCTGGTTCGGTTTGTCACGCTTCAACTCTCGTTTTCTCTTCATGTTAATATTTTGTTCTCCACTCCTGCAGTATTTTATGAGATCACTTAATTGAGTCCTTCTGATAGTTACTTTCCTTCATACTGACTTCCCTGCTATTTCTGGCCTTTATCCTGTCAGATGGTGCTACTGTCCTCCTGCCTTCAGTAACCAGGTTTTGGCCCAGGATGTCTGCAGTTTTCAGATGGTTCAGGAGAAAGCATATATATGTGTACTCTTAGGAAAAGGAGGAACAACAGAGCAAATGTGGCGGAATGTTAAGTTGGTGAATGTGCGAAAGACCCCACATTCCTTATCTCTGTGTTCTCTACATTTAATTTTTAAAAATAGGTAAAAATTCATATAGTTCAAAGATAAAAACTTAAAGTTACCCAGTGACAAGTTTTCCTTCCACTCATTCCCTCGGCCATCTGGTCTTCTCCCTGCCCTGAGATGAGTTGTCACTGTTCTGTTTCTTGTATGTGCTTCCCTAGAGATCTTTTTATATGTATACGTTTTTCCACATTCAAGCAAGTACATTTTCTTCTCTTTATTACTAAGATGGTAAAGGTTTGTGTTTTTAAAAAAAAAAA